TTAATCATATATTTTAAAGTGCTTGATCATGTGCCATATAGAGACAGGGTACAATTTTTTAAATCAATGAGGGGAAAAATCACTTATAGGGCTTATCAGCTGGAACATTTGTGTTTCACATATAAAAGTGGGGCTAGGAAAGAAATACCAAGCCCCAAAATACCCAAACTCTACAACTTTGCCTAGATGGGGTTTTGCCTTGCAATGAAGTTTGTTGTGAAAGCCCCCAGAGGTTAAGAATGAACCTGCTCAAGCATGGAAACCTCAGGAAGTAGGAAGGAGTGACTGGCCCCTAAAAAAGCAGAACCAGAGATCTCCATCAAAAGTTATCTTGCTGCCTGGAGAAAAAGGTTGTCCTTTACCCCTAGGTTATTGAAAGAAGCAAACTAGTAAAAACACAAGAAAACCAAAACACATGTGCCAAGGTCACAGCTGATTTGATCAGTCCTGCTTTCCTACAGCCAGACAAGTCTGGGTGTCTGGCAGACTCAGGCTTCTGCTCTGAAGTAGGGAGAAGGGAGGCTGTGGGCATTTCCCCGCTGTAAAAGGCAAAGCCAATGCAAGAGAGAGTGGGAGAGTAATCCCAGCTGCTCAGTCCAGCACCCTGCGCATGAGTTTCCTGCCTAGCAATTGCACAGCAGCTACAGCATAAATAACAACAGTAGCAGGTGGCAAACAGAGGATAAAAATAACAATAGGGCTGGGCATGGGCTCACGCCTGTAATTCCAGTACTCTGGGAGGTCAAGGCGGGCAAATCACCAGAGGTCGGGAGTTTGAGACCAGCCTGACCAACATGGAGAAACCCCGTCTCTACTAAAAATACAAAAATTCGCTGGGCGTGGTGGCGCATGCCTGTAATCCCAGCTACTTGGGAGGCTGAGGCAGAAGAATCGCTTGAACCTGGGAGGCAGAGGTTGCGGTGAGCCGAGATCCAGCCATTACACTCCAGCCTGGGTAACAAGAGTGAAACTCTGTCTCAAAATAAATAAATAAATAACAATAGCTACCATTTGTTTAATGCCTACTGTGAGAACAGGTCTTTCACTGGACATTTTTACATGTATTATCATATTTTTCCCTCATAATCTATACAATAAATGGTGTTATCCTTATTGCACAGTTGAAAAAACTAATAGAGGATTAAAATACCTAGCTCAGAGTTGCATAGTTAATATAAGAGTCAAGATTCAAACCCAGGTCTTTATGAATCTAAGGTTTAGGGGAAACCATCACTAGCACTCAAGTTTGCCACTGCTTTCCGAGAATCAAGAAGCTGAATGAATCACAAATCACTATCACCAGTGATTCCAGCTGCCTGCCACACCACAGCAAATGATTTCCAGGGGATTACCTAGAGATTGCTACAAAACCTCACATCCCGTAAAGCCTTTACATCTACCCTCTGCTGCTGGAGGAAAACAATGTGCATCATTCTGCTCCTCTTCTGGGTCCAGCTCTCTCACAAGTGCCTTCTAGTGACAGAATCTACATGGGACCACTATTGGCAAAGAATTCTGAAAATGTAGTTCCCAGGCTACTAGCCCTGTAATAAAAGGAAGTTGTAGAATAGAGCAAGAATGAATCTACATTGCCCAAAGGCATAGTCAGGGATATCACTACAAACAATCTGGAAGTTAGGAAAATGTGTGGAGGTAGTTATAATCCACTACTGAAAACTCTAATGGGGAAGGCATGGCTATACTTTAATGGAAGCAGCTGATGAACCAAAACTACAGACAGAATATTTTGGCCACTATTTTGCACCCTGGCTAATATTCTCAAGCTGGCCAAGTACTTTTTTGCAGATTCAAAGTTTCAACAGCCTCCGGAAGGAAAGGAACGTACAGCTGAAGTCTCTTTCCAGCCCTTCCTGTTCTTACCAGAGTCCCTTGTGAGAATCCTATGCACCAACAGTTTTAATTATTGGTAAAAGAACCCTGGGCTCTATTTTCCACTCTCAATGAAAATTCCTACCTGCTGGCTTCCTAACCCACTAAAAGCACTTTTCTGCTAACTCTAATTTCTTGAGGAACGGCTTTAATTTTAATGACTGAATTAGCTGAAATGACTTAAGAAAAATTTGAGTTAATTTTTAACTTAATTTCAATGATTGCAGTTACATTCTATACTTATATCCTGAGGGCAATTACTTCCAATACTTATAACTCTTTCTTGACTCCATATTTCTCAATATTATGCTTATACTGCTAGTTCTTGATTTTTCCATTTAGATGTTAGGTATTGACTGTCCATTATGAAAAATGAGGACTTCGCTTTCTTATCATTCAACACACACACATACACAAGCATACAACTCGGCTTTTCATTCAACCTCCTAAAATAATGTTTTGAGTTAAGTCAGTATTCAGTATTACATTATTATGATTATATGACATTTATTCACAGCTGCATCATGTAGTTTTCTGTTACCATATTTCTTTTCTTATAAACTTTTTCGTTTTCCTTATCTTTTTCCCCCTTTCTTAAATTTTCAGTAATCACTAAGTCATTGGCAACCTTTCTACCATAAGGAACAATCAATCTCCTTTCAATAGGCTGAAACATATCTCTTGGTATTCACTTGGAGAGTGAATACTCTCCTGAAGGTGTCTCCAAGAAAATATGAAACCAAGAGGTATGTTTTGCTCTGGGGGAACAGCCACTCTCCTGAAAGTATCTCCAAGAAAATATGCTACCGAGAGATATGTTTTGCTCTAGGGGAGCGACCATTCACCTGAAGGTATCTCCAAGAAATATGTTTGCTCTCTGGACTTACTGCCCAGCTACCATTCTGAGATAACCTGCTAACACCAGCCAGGGACTTGGACATTGTATCTCATGAAATGTTCCTGGGCACTCCCTTGAATCTCCTCTCCCCATGAGGTGGTGGTGGTGGTGGTACTGGTGGTAGTGGTGGTAGTAGTGGTGGTGGTGGTGGTGGTGGTGGCGGCGGTGGTGGTAATAGTTATGTTTTCCCACAGTTGGGCCAGAGATTCCACTCCACATTCTGACTACTCGCTGCTCTTCTTAGATGATCCTACACGTGTCCTGGGCATGTGAAAGTAGGGCGCTGGTGTATTCCAGAACCTGAGAGCCTCCCACTGCCCCTGTGGCCAGTATGTCTGAATGGGAAATAATGGAGACATACCAAAATACAAATGTGTGTGAAGGGTTTCCAAGAAGTTGTTATCCAAACCATTTCTGGAAATAGAAGATAACATTATTTCCTTAAACCCAGGATGCCAGAAAAAGAGAGACAGACTGTAATAAATGGCATGATATAAAAATTAGTTTCAAAATCCCAGTGTTTTTCTCTTTTTCAAGCCAATTGCTTTGTGCTAAATGATATCACCACGGGTCTATGAGTGAGTTCTGTGTAGGCCCAGTGCCCAAAACCTTTTTCCAAGTCCATTTTCTAAAATCACTAATGAGGCCGTTGCTCTATGGAGTACGGACTTTGGCTCCTTTCCTCAAATTCAAATATTAGATAATAAATACGCTATCACAAAAGTTTGGTTAGCTGAGGCTCCCTGGAAAGCCAAATAGCAAAACTGAAAAAAAGCACAGTTTTGCCATGTATTCCATGGGGAATACAAAATGCAACTGATTTAGACCTGGAGTGAGTGTCATTTCTCCCCACTGCACACAGAACACAGCCAGACCCATCATTCTGTAAACATTTACATACACATATACATACATATGTACACACACACACATCTATATATAGTAGTATGAATCATAATATCAAGATTAGCTAACATTTTAATCAGTAACACTCTAATAAATGGTATTTGTGCCCTACTAAAAGTAGGGCAATTGATTAGCAATAGATTTCCATGAGCCCCCTTCACCCTTAAAAAAATTATATAAGTCAATTTTAGAAGACTTTTATGTTCAAAGTACTTTTCTTAGGTGAAGAAGAACTTACACACAGTAAGATATATAACTATTAAGTACACAGCTTGAATATTTACATATGTAAACACCCATGTTACCACCATCCAGATCAAGATATAGACTATTTCTATCATCCAGAAAGTTCCTTTATGCCTGCATGGTATTAGGTTCATTTTTAATGGTAAACATCATTTATTGCTAACTTTATATTATGAGAATATTTGATTACACAGAACTCTGAGCATTCCAGGTAGAAAAGAAAATGAACATTTATCGAGCAAATGAAATTTTCTAAGCACTTTGATATTTCATGCTAATCCTGTTAGGTGTAATTATCTCCACTGAGCCAATGAGGAAATTTGGGCTCTGAGAGCTTAAGGGGCCTTTCCAATGTCTCTTTGTGTGTGTGTGTGTGTGTGTGTGTGTGTGTGTGATGTAGGTCTTTAATTTTTAAAACTGCAAAACAGGTGCCAAGATGAGCTCTTACTGATGTATATGGTGTAGCACAGTATAGCCAAAACCACTGCTTATGACCTCTCAAATACTCACACATCAAGGCCAGGCACAGTGGCTTATGCCTGTAATCCCAGCACTCTGGGAGGCCAAGGTAGATGGATCACTTGAGGTCAGGAGTTCGAAACCAACCTGGTCAACGTGGTGAAACCCCATCTCTACAAAAAATACAAAAAATTAGCCAGGCATGGTGGTGGACACCTGTAGTCTCACCTACTAGGGAGGCTGAGGCAGGAGGATCACCTGAACCCAGGAGGTAGAGGCTGCAGTGAGCTGAGATCACACCACTGCACTCCAGCCTGGGTGACAAAGTGAGACCCTATCCCCCAAAAAATATTTACACATCACCCAGTAGTAAGGAAGGGTTATCATTCAGAGAGGCTTCTCTGAGATAATCTATTAAATTACAATTATAAAGAAGAAATGTTTATAAATTTTTATGAAGTTATAAATTTATAAATATAAAAGTATAAATTCATATAGAACTGTTTAAACTTATTCATATAGAGCTGTTTTAACTTCTTGTTTAAAGAAGTTTCCCTCTGAGAGGATTACAGACTATGCAATCTGCTACATGTGATTTCAGATAAATGATAAATTATACCTAATGTGTAAGTATAATAGAATCAATTTTTGATATTTAAATTATTCTAAAACCTGTTGAGTGTGACTACTCTTAAATCTTTCTTTTCTGTTTATGCTTCTGGCTGAGAATGGAAGAAGGGACGGAGGCTTCAAATGACTGAAATTCTTCAGATGGTTTCTTGTGACCGACCACTCATAAAGTATTTTTCTCCAGAGTCCAAAGGCAAGATAAAAAGTCTCTGACTTGAAATCAGAATTAATCTGCTGAGCTCGAATATTGCCATAAACCTTGGAAGGAGGATTTCCCAAGATTAGTTTGCAAATGGCAGTTCTTGCCATCTTGATGTTTTGGAAGGAGCCAAGGATGTGAACTTTAACATCAGCCAAAACTATCCGCGTCCATGTCACATTCTCTATGGTGAATTTGGTTTTTCCTCCTTTGACAGCAATTCTTCCTATTGCCCTGGATAAATGGTCTCCCTCTAGGGGTTTAACATCTGTAATTTCAAAAGACTCTAGGAAGAGGTCATCTAACCTGATGAGGGCAAGTGCATCCTCCACCTGAAAGCCTAGAATAAAAACTTTCACACAATCAGCTGCTGTTGTCAGAGCACTAACATCCTTGGTTTCTTTACAAGTCCTGATTTCTACATTCCTTGATTTCAAGTTAAAGTGTATCTAAAGTCCCAAATGTTCCACAATAGGAGTAAATATCTTTATCCAGTTTTCTATCAATGGTGTGTATCTGTTAGCTGGGACTGGAATTTTCCTTGTTTCCTCTTTCCCACTCAGGAGCCCATCCCCACAGAGGGGTGGGAAGACAGGCCTCTTCGCTGGCCTGGCCTCCTCTGTGTCCATCCGGCCTGTATCCCCACCCTCTCCCGCTGCGGACAGCTGTTCAGCCTGTCGTTTCTTCGCCGGACAGCTGTTCAGCCTGTCGTTTCTTCGCCGGCTCTTGCAGGTGACCTGGCTAAAGCCCTCCTCTGCCCTGGCACTCTGCGCTTCCATTTTGGATTCCGTCCCCCCTCCAATGTCTTACAGTCTGTAAGCAGCTCAAGGTCTTTGTTTTTTTTCTTTTTTTTTTTTTTTTTTTTGTAGACTGAATCTCGCTCAGTCCTGCACTTAATTGATCCTCCCACCTCAGCCTCCCGAGCAGCTGGGACTACAGGTGCACACCACCACACCTCGCTAATTTTTAAATCTTTGTTTTGTAGAGACATGGTCTTACCATGTTGCCCAGGCTGTTCTCAAACTCCTGGTCTCAAGCTATCCTCCCACCTCAGCCTCCCAAAATGTTGAGATTACAGGCATGAGCCACTATGCCTGACCTGTTTTTTCCCTGTAATTGCAGTGCCAGGCAATATAGCTTACTGTATTTTGTAACTAGGAGAGGGTTTTTGTCTTTGTGTGTGTGTGTGTGTGTGTGTGTGTGTGTGTGTGTGTTTTGGTTAACTCTCATTTATGCCCCATACTAAAAAATGATAAAGGATAAGTGAAATCCATAGAAAATAAAAAATACTTATCTATAGGTAACATTAAAATATCTTTATTTATTAGTTTGCCTTAAAAATATCTTAAGAATAAGACCCAGCATTTTAGGAGGCCAAGGTGGGTGGATCGCATGAACTCAGGAGTTCAAGACCAGCCTGGGCAACATGGCAAAACCCTGTCTCCACAAAAAAATACAAAAACTATCCAGACATGGTGGTACATGCCTGTGGTCCCAGCTACTCGGGAGGCTGAGGTGGGAGGATCGCTTAAGCCCAGGAGGCAGAGGTTGCAGAATGAGACACTGTCTCAAAAAAAAAAAAGAATAGGAGGGAAAAAGAGAAAGATAGTGCCCATACCCTAACTATGCCTTAAAAACAAAAATATGTTGTTTTTTAATCTCTTTGAAATGGCTTACCTTTGATATTGATTTTCAAGTTCAGGGCCAGGAATAAAGGAACAGTGTTAACCAGACTCAAAACAATCTGCAATTCACCTGATCAACAAGACCAGGAACCAAGTGGGGCAAGTCATGGGAGTAGTGGTTTTGTGGGACCCTGGTTAGTGGTCCTTAAAGGGTGATTTTTTGTGACCTCAGGGGTTTGTGATAAACCATCCCAGTTTGCTTGGGGCTGACACAGTTTTAGCAGTGAAAATCCAGTGTCCCAGACAAACTGGGCTGGCTGGTCACCCCATGCATAGGCACCGCCTTTCAAATCACTTTAACAAAATGTTGGTTTGATCTTTGAGATTCCAAAGAATGTTTAGGAAAGTGAAGAAGATCATAAATGTAAATTAAGTCAATTTGTTCACCAAAGAGAGGTGTCTTTAAAGAGGATACCTAAATACTTCTGCTTACAGACACACAAGAAATCAGAATGCAGAAGCAATGTCTCATTGCTTCCACGGAGAGGACTTTGGTGCTGGCTGACCAGGCAAGGATAGTGGTCTCTCACGGCATGCCCTTTTAGAGTCATTTGAATTAAATAGATGCATATTCATGATTACACTAATTCAGTGTTGTGGAACTGTGTTCCTCAGCAGGCCTTGAGGGACCGTAGGGTGGGGAATTAGGGAAGTAATAGAGATACTTGCAGAAACCCTCTACCTGCTTCAAGCAGTTTTGTATCCGCTGTTTTACATTTTGGCTTCTTCACAAGATTTCATTTAAATAAAAGGTTTTATGATATTTTTAAAAGTCTGAAAACCATAACACTAGTCCTTTTACTTATAATCTGTAAATAGCAACCCTTTCTAAATAATCCTTTAAAAAGAGAGACACCAAGGTCTACTGAAAAACTGGGTACATGGCGTCAAAGGAGTCAGGTTCCAATCCTGGATCCATACTTGCTGTCTGTGTGACCATGAGCAAGTTTCTTTATACCCTGGCAGCCTTAGTACCTTCACCTGTTTTCAAAAAGTATGTGTACTTGTGTGTAATACTAGCTCAAAGAGTTGTGAGAATTAAATGCTATACTATTCATGAACTAACTAGCATTGTACCTGTGTACATAGCAAAAAATCACAAATGTCTAATCTGAAACTGAAGCAGTGTTAAAAAAGCGTTAATGCAGAAGTAGGTTATTAAAATACTATTAAAAGGATGTGAAGAAAATAATAATAATACCACCTGCAAATGTTTATGTCAGGTTCTGTTCAAAGTATTTTATACTTATTAATTCAATTAATAAAACAGAGTAAAAGAGATGAGTGAAAGAAAAGATTAAAGGAATGGAAAACTGACCCTATAAGGATATTGGACCAGAGATGGTGATAATGGTTTACATTAGGACAAATGTAATCTCAGCAGATCTGTATGAGATCTCAGCTGAAAATAAAGAGAAATTATTTGGCTATCAAGTCGATCAAATGCTGGAAAAGAGTTTGTTGGGTACCGTGACTCCACAAGGCCATCTGCCTAGGGAGGGAACTGAAGTATGAGGAAGCCAGGAAAGGGACAAAGAGGCTGATAGGCTAAATCCAAGTTGGCAGAGTGTGGCCTAGATGAGTGCCCTGCCCTAGAAGGAAAGCCATAACCAAATGCCAAGCCAAGGAACCACAATGAGAAGGTTGCCTGGTCAAAAAGCCGAGTCATGAGTCATGGGTTGGGGCATAACACCCCGAAACAGCATACCAAAGGCAAGAAGGCAGGGTCTGAAAAAGCCAGCTGGGCAATGTGTGGATCTCAGCAGATTATCAACTGCTATGTACTTGCAGCCATGCAGTTCATTGTAAATCAGTTCTATTTGTGAATTGTTAGCTCATACCAAGACTCTTCCAGGAAAATTTATTGGGCTAAATAGGTGCATGATTGGCCAGTGGCGGTGGCTCACACCTGTAATCCTAGCACTTTGGGAGGCAGAGGCACACAAATCACCTGAGGGTTTCGAGACCAGACTGGCCAACATGTAGAAACCCCATCTCTACTAAAAATGCAAAAAAAAAAAATTAGCCAGGCATGGTGGCACATGCCTGTAATCCCAGCTACTAGGGAGGCTGAGGCAGGAGAGTTGCTTGAACCTGGGAGGCAGAGGTTGCTGCGAGCCAAGATCACACCACCGAACTCCAGCCTGGGTGACAGAGTGAGACTCGTCTCAAAAAATAAATAAATAAATAAAATAAAATGATTTCTCTAAATGGTAAATGGTAGCTATTTATCCCCTCTTATCTCAAAACAGAGTTTGGATAAGGTAATCACAATGTATTTTAGAATTCTGTGAAAAACATGGAAGAGATGAATAAAAAGAGGGTGGGACAAAGAAAGGGACTAAGAATTTTTTTGGCTGGACGCAGTGGCTCATACCTGTAATCCCAGCACTTTGGGAGGCCAAGGCAGGTGGATCACAAGGTCAGGCATTCGAGAACACCCTGGCCAATATGGTGAAACCCCATCTCTACCAAAACTACAAAAATTAGCCAGGCATGGTGGTGCATGCCTGTAGTCCCAACTAGTCAGGAAGCTGAGGCACGAGAATCACTTGAACCTAGGAGGCAGAGGTTGCAGTTACCCGAGATTGCGCCACTGCACTCCAGCCTGGGCAACAGAGCAAGGGATTCTGTCTCCAAAAAAAAAAAAAGATTTTTAAATTGCCATTGATAAAAATTATACTTTTCAGTTTTAATATGAGTAGCTCGTCTAAAAGTAGGAATACATAAAAATCATACTGTAACCTAGTACAGAGGTTCTGAAACAGCAATCCATGCGGACTAGGTACATCAGAATCACCTGAGAAGTCTTTGTTGTTTTTGTTGCTGTTGTTGTTGTTTTTTGAGAGGGAGTCTTGCTCTGTCACCCAGGCTACAGTGCAGTGATATAATCTCAGCTCACTGCAACCTCTGCCTCCTGAGTTCAAGAGGTTCTCCTGCCTCAGCCTCCCTAGTAGCTGGGACTACAGGTGCCCACCACCCTGCCCGGCTAATTTTTGTACTTTTAGCAGAGATGGGGTTTCACCATATTGGCCAGGCTGGTCTCAAACTCCTGACCTTGTGATCCGCCCACCTCGGCCTCCCAAAGTGCTGGGATTATAGGCGTGAACCACTGCACCCGGCCGAGAAGTCTTTTTAAAAATATATTCCCAGTTATTTCCCCCAAACCTATTATATCACAGTTTTGCAGGATGGGTCTGGTTATCTCTATTTTTTAAAGATCCTTGGGTGTTTCTGACATACAAGTAGACCTGAGAACTTCTGACTTTGTAGACACTCTGTGTTCGGGGCCTTGTACCAAAAATTAGTGAGAGCTTTTTACCCAGCTACCTGCTTAGGGTACTAGGACAGTAGTGTTGGTTTGTTCTATTTGATTCAGCTACTTCCCAACAGTAAGAGAAAACTTTTTTTCAACACAGGACCTGATGAGAAAAATGAGACAATATATAAGGAAATACAACCTCCTGTAATAAATGAATTGAATCCATATACTTTACTTATTGTTATTGTAAGCAAAAATAATGTATGGTAAAATATAAATAATCACAGGTTTAAATGCCGTCCTCTCTAGAACACTGGTAAAGCCCTTAGCCAGGACCACTTGGGAGAGAAACTCTATCCTTATCTGAGTCCAAATCTGCATCTTCTTTTATAGTTTTCATCCATGAAGGTCTTTTTTGGCTGTTTCCTGTTGTCAGTGCTAACATGCTCATTGTAAAGAACTTTGAGTTTTTTATATCTACAATTACTCAAAGCCCAATGCCTAATACACAGGTTTTCTTCCATTTAAGTCATCAACTGTATTTCTAGTATTGTTCCAATCTTTACTCCTAATTGCTTTTGTACAAGCCTATATAACCAAAGAAACCGCTAAAGATACAGTCCTCTCATATGACTGCTTTCAAATGGAACTGTTCTGCTCAAAGTTTCAGATCTTTTCTCAGGTGAGACACAGAGAGAAATCACTTCTAAATTGAGCATTTAGCCTTTATTAGTATATTCCCTATATCACAATATACTATAAATGGCTCCCTTATCTTGCATTTATCCCAAAGTACTATAAATTTATGTTTAATTATTTAATTGTTTATCTCTACCATGAGTTATAACAGGTCTAGGACAGGGAGCATCTGTATTGTCTATTGCTGAATCACCTATACCTAACTTGATGCCTGGCTCACATAAATGTTTCATAAATATTTGTCGAATTGAAGAATGGATGGATGGATGAATAATCATTCTCTGCTTTTCCA